AGTACTGGAGGGGTAGCTCAGTCAATGTACACTGAGTCGGCAGGGAGAGTGAACTGAATTAACACAGTTAATTCCTACACGACATCAACTCGCCAAAGGAGAGAGGGAATATTAGACTAAACTACCCTCCAAGGGCATACCTTGTTTCAACTCTTAGCCAGCTGTTACCTACCTTCCCAACACATTACTCAAAATACATAAATATATATATACACATCATACCCGGGTATATTACTAAATCAGATAATATTATAAACTAGTGGAATCTTTAATTTAGCTAATATTAAAGAAACCCCGAGTATAATATTAAGTGGATAATACATATATAAATTAATCTCATTATGACCTTGGTCATAACAATAAGGCATCACAAGACTCTGTCACTGGCCCGAGTGGCCCGGTGGCCTGGTGGCTAAAGCTCCCGCTTCACACACGGAGGGCCCGGGTTCGATTCCCGGCGGGTGGAAACATTTCGACACGTTTCCTTACACCTGTTGTCCTGTTCACCTAGCAGCAAATAGGTACCTGGGTGTTAGTCGACTGGTGTGGGTCGCATCCTGGGGGACAAGATTAAGGACCACAATGGAAATAAGTTAGACAGTCCTCGATGACGCACTGACTTTCTTGGGTTATCCTGGGTGGCTAACCCTCCGGGGTTAAAAATCCGAACGAAATCTTATCTTATCTTATCTTATCTTACTGGTCAGTAGTACATAGCTTACTGGCTGTTACAGTGAGGTCACTGGTCAGTAGTACAGAGCTTCCGGTCTGTTACCTTGAGGTCACTGGTCAGTAGTCAGGTTTCCCTGTCTGTTACAGTGAGGTCACTGGTCAGTAGTTCAGAGCTTCCTGTCTGTTACCTTGAGGTCACTGGTCAGTAGTACAGAGCTTCCTGTCTGTTACCTTGAGGTCACTGGTCAGTAGTACAGAGCTTCCTGTTACCTTGAGGTCACTGGTCAGTAGTTCAGAGGTTCCTGTCTGTTACCTTGAGGTCACTGGTCAGTAGTACAAGAGCTTCCTTTTTCTTTACCTTGAGGTCACTGGTCAGTAGTACAGAGCTTCCTGTCTGTTACCTTGAGGTCACTGGTCAGTAGTTCAGACCTTCCTGTCTGTTACCTTGAGGTCACTGGTCAGTAGTTCAGAGCTTCCTGTCTGTTACCTTGAGGTCACTGGTCAGTAGTTCAGAGCTTCCTGTCTGTTACCTTGAGGTCACTGGTCAGTAGTACAGAGCTTCCTGTCTGTTACAGTGAGGTCACTGGTCAGTAGTACAGAGCTTCCTGTCTGTTACAGTGAGGTCACTGGTCAGTAGTTCAGAGCTTCCTGTCTGTTACCTTGAGGTCACTGGTCAGTAGTTCAGAGCTTCCAGTCTGTTACCTTGAGGTCACTGGTCAGTAGTACAGAGCTTCCTGTCTGTTACCTTGAGGTCACTGGTCAGTAGTACAGAGCTTCCAGCCCTGTTACCTTGGGTCACTGGTCAGTAGTTCAGGCTTCCATCTGTTACCTTGAGGTCACTGGTCAGCAGTACAGAGCTTCCTGTCTGTTACCTTGAGGTCACTGGTCAGTAGTGCAGAGCTTCTTGTCTGTTACCTTGAGGTCACTGGTCAGTAGTACAGAGCTTCCTTTTCTGTTACCTTGAGGTCACTGGTCAGTAGTACAGAGCTTCCTGTCTGTTACCTTGAGGTCACTGATCAGTAGTACAGAGCTTCCTGTCGTTACCTTTTTAGTCACTGGTCAGCAGTACAGAGCTTCCTGTCTTTTAAACCTTGAGGTCACTGGTCAGTAGCACAGAGCTTCCTGTCTGTTACCTTGAAGTCACTGGTCGTAGTACAAGCTTCCTGTCTGTTACCTTGAGGTCACCTGGTCAGTAGTACAGAGTTTCCTGTCTGTTACCTTGAGGTCATTGGTCAGTAGTAAAAGAGCTTCCTGTCTGTTACCTTGAGGTCACTGATCAGTAGTAACAGAGCTTCCTGTCTGTTACCTTGAGGTCACTGATCAGTAGTACAGAGCTTCCTGTCTTTTTACCTTGAGGTCACTGATCAGTAGTACAGAGCTTCCTGTCTGTTACCTTGTAGTCACTGGTCAGCAGTACAGAGCTTCCTGTCTGTTACCTTGAGGTCACTGGTCAGTAGCACAGAGCTTCCTGTCGTTACCTTAAAAGTCACGGGTCAGTAGTACAGAGCTTCCTGTCTGTTACCTTGAGGTCACTGGTCAGTAGACAGAGCTTTCCTGTCTGTTACCTGAGGTCTTTGGTCATAGTACAGAGCTTCCTGTCTGTTACCTTGAGGTCACTGGTCAGTATACATAGCTTCCTGTCTGTTCCTTGAGGTCACTGGTCAGTAGTACAGAGCTTCCTGTCTGTTACCTTGAGGTCACTGGTCAGTAGTACAGAGCTTCCTGTCTGTTACCTTGAGGTCACTGGTCAGTAGTACAGAGCTTCCTGTCTGTTACCTTGAGGTCATTGGTCAGTAGTACAGAGCTTCCTGTCTGTTACCTTGAGGTCACTGGTCAGTAGTACATAGCTTCCTGTCTGTTACCTTGAGGTCACTGGTCAGTAGTACAGAGCTTCCTGTCTGTTACCTTGAGGTCACTGGTCAGTAGTACAGAGCTTCCTGTCTGTTACCTTGAGGTCACTGGTCAGTAGTACAGAGTTTCCCGGTCTGTTACCTTGAGGTCACTGGTCAGTAGTACAGAGCTTCCTGTCTGTTACCTTGAGGTCACTGGTCAGTAGTACAGAGCTTCCTGTCTGTTACCTTGAGGTCACTGGTCAGTAGTACAGAGCTTCCTGTCTGTTACCTTGAGGTCACTGGTCAGTAGTACAGAGCTTCCTGTCTGTTACCTTGAGGTCTTGGTCGTATTTACAGAGCTTCCTGTCTGTTACCTTGAGGTCACTGGTCAGTAGTACAGAGCTTCCTGTCTGTTACCTTGAGGTCACTGGTCAGTAGTACAGAGCTTCCTGTCTGTTTACCTTAGGTCACTGGTCATAGTACAGAGTTTCCCTGTCTGTTCCCCTTGAGGTCACTGGTCAGTAGTACAGAGCTTCCTGTCTGTTACCTTGAGGTCACTGGTCAGTAGTACAGAGCTTCCTGTCTGTTACCTTGCAGTTTATCTCGTTGCTTGCCTTCCTGTCATCATTTCCTCTGTGTGTCCTCTTTTTTCTTTAATTAATGTAATCAACTGATTCTTATTTACAATTTTCTTTTAATGTCGCTATGAAAATGCTCTGGTTCTTTATTTGCCTCTGCTGCTATGTTTATCTCAGATGGTTTCTTAACTTTCCTTACAAGAAGATAATCATTTGTGGCACCTCAGTTAGGTTTCCTGGTCTCTGGTGTTCGGTACATCCTATACTTGTGCTGGCATCCCTGCTTCTGCTTCAATACAACTTACACTTTCTCCATGCCTTTATGTTTCAAAATTTTGCTTCGTTCCACTGAACTCTGGGTTCTCCCGGTGTTTGATATCTATTCCCTTACGGTTTATACAAGAAATCCAAACAGGTGCGGCTTATTTCCGTTGGGAAATCCTTCCGGTCCTATCCAGGACGTGACTCATAAATGTTGGATAATACACTGGTACTTATTCACTGCTTGATGAACGTGGCAGCAGGTGTAGTATGATTTAAGCACACACCTCAGCGTGCCTGGGGACCCATGACTGACTCTCTCAGTGGTCAGCTAAGAGCATCTCTGTTACTGACTAAGAAAGTCTCAGTCACGCAGTGTGTATATGCTATGTGCATCTAGTGAAGCCATCAGACATAAGAAGTATACATACTATCTGACAGTATTCACGACATAGGAGTTTCTGATGTGCGTGGGAAAGCCATCATTGACGTCACGTGCATGATACAACTGTGTTAGTGCATGTCAAAGGCACTTGCCGATAGACACTTAACCTGCTGTTCACTATGTGTGTGTGTGTGTGTGTGTGTGTGTGTGTGTGTGTGTGTGTGTGTGTGTGTGTGTGTGTGTGTGTGTGTGTGATGCTTAATGCTACACATATTGTCAATTAGATTCAATTTTTTATTTTGTTGCTCACTTATGAAACAAGTATTATTAAGCAATTCAGTACCAAACCACTATTTTATGTTGTGACGCGACAATCTTACAGGAGAATACTTCACAAACACTATGTAATGAGACACGACGCAGTTACAGGAGAATATTTCCCACAAACACTATGAATGAGACACGACGCAGTTACAGGGAGAAAACTTCAAAAAACACTATGTAATGAGACATGACGCAGTTACAGGAGAATAACTTCACAAACACATGTAATGAGACACGACGCAATTTACAGGAGAATACTTCACAAACACTATGTAATGAGACTGACGCAGTAAACAGGGAATACTTCACAAACACTATTGTAATGAGCATGACGCAGTTACAGGAGAATCCCTTCACAAACACAATGTAATGAGACATGACGCAGTTACAGGAGAATACTTCCCCAAACACAGTAAGAGACATGACGCAGTTACAGGAGAATTTACTTCACAAACACTATGTAATGAGACATGACGCAGTTACAGGAGAATACTTCACAAACACTATGTAATGAGACATGACGCAGTTACAGGAGAATACTTCACAAACACTATGTAATGAGACATGACGCAGTTACAGGAGAATACTTCATAAACACTATGTAATGAGACATGACGCAGTTACAGGAGAATACTTCACAAACACTATGTAATGAGACATGACGCAGTTACAGGAGAATACTTCACACTCACTGACTGTGTAATGACACACAATGCAGTTCACAAAACATTATTGCAAAAGACGTCACAGTCTCAATACGCGGTAATGCAACACTGACGACGAGAAACAACACAATTTATCAAAACATTGTTGCAAGAATATCAGTATACATCAGAGTCAACCAGTAATGAAGCAACACATCTCACTTAACAATATTACAAGAACCTCAACGTCACTTGTTGATAGTATAAATGATGGATCATGTAACAACAAAGACACACAACACACCTGATAACTGTAGTAAATCCAGGTACAACTTGACCTACACACAACTACTAGAGTCACAGTGACAGTGTCAGCTGTAGTGCTCCTCCTGGGCCAGTTCTTGGTGGAATGTTCTGCCTCGTGTGTGAGTCTCGCCTCGTGTGTGTGCCCCGCCTCCCGTGTGTGTGCCCCGCCTCCCGTGTGTGCCTCGCCTCCCGTGTGTGTGCCCCGCCTCCCGTGTGTGTGCCCCGCCTCCCGTGTGTGTGCCCCGACTCCCGTGTGCCTCGCCTCCCGTGTGTGGGGCCCCGCCTCGTGTGTGTGCCCCCCCCTCCCGTTTTGGGGTGCCCCGCCTCCCGTGTGTGTGCCCCGACTCCCGTGTGTGCCTCGCCTCCGTGTGTGTGCCCCGCCCGTGTGTGTGCCCCGCCTCCCGTGTGTGTGCCCCGCCTCCCGTGTGTGTGCCCCGACTCCCGTGTGTGCCTCGCCTCCCGTGTGTGTGCCCCGCCTCGTGTGTGTGCCCCGCCTCCCGTGTGTGTGCCCCGCCTCCCGTTGTGTGTGCCCCGCCTCCCGTGTGTGCCTCGCCTCCCGTGTGTGTGCCCCGCCTCGTGTGTGTGCCCCGCCTCCCCTGTGTGTGCCCCACCTCCCGTGTGAGTGCCCCGCCTCCCCTGTGTGTGCCCCGCCTCCCGTGTGAGTGCCCCACCTCCCGTGTGTGTGCCCCGCCTCCCGTGTGAGTGCCCCACCTCCCGTGTGTGTGCCCCCCCCCTATGTGTGTCTGCCTCATGTGTGTGCCCCGCCTCCCCGGGGTGCCCCGCCTTCCGTGTGTTTTGCCCCGCCTCCCGTGTGTGTGCCCCGCCTCCCGTGTGTGTGCCCCGCCTCCCGTGTGTGCCTCGCCTCCCGTGTGTGTGCCCCGCCTCATGTGTGAGCCCCGCCTCGTGTGTGAGCCTCGCCTCGTGTGTGTGCCCCGCCTCCCGTGTGTGCCCCGCCTCCCGTGTGTGTGCCCCGCCTCCCGTGTGAGTGCCCCACCTCCCGTGTGTGTGCCCCGCCTCCCGTGTGTGCCCCGCCTCCCGTGTGTGTGCCCCGCCTCGTGTGTGTCTCGCCTCATGTGTGTGCCCCGCCTCCCGTGTGTGCCCCGCCTTCCGTGGGTGTGCCCCGCCTCCCGTGTGTGTGCCCCGCCTCCCGTGTGTGTGCCCCGCCTCCCGTGTGTGCCTCGCCTCCCGTGTGTGTGCCCCGCCTCATGTGTGAGCCCCGCCTCGTGTGTGAGCCTCGCCTCGTGTGTGTGCCCCGCCTCCCGTGTGTGTGCCCCGCCTCCCGTGTGTGTGCCCCGCCTCCCGTGTGTGCCTCGCCTCCCCTTTTGTGTGCCCCCCCTCATGTGTGTGCCCCGCCTCGTGGTGAGCCTCGCCTCGTGTGTGTGCCCCGCCTCCCGTGTGTGTGCCCCGCCTCCCGTGTGTGTGACCCGCCTCCCGTGTGTGCCTCGCTTCCCTTGTGTGTGCCCCGCCTCATGTGTGTGCCCCGCCTCGTGTGTGAGCCTCGCCTCGTGTGTGTGCCCCGCCTCCCGTGTGTGTGCCCCGCCTCCCGTGTGTGTGCTCCGCCTCCCGTGTGTGTGCCCCGCCTCATGTGTGTGCCCCGCCTCGTGTGTGAGCCTCGCCTCGTGTGTTTTGCCCGCCCCCGTGTTGTGTGCCCCCTCCCGGTGTGTGTTGCTCCGCCTCCCGTGTGTGTGCCCCCGCCCCATGTGTTTTGCCCCGCCCGTGTGTGGAGCCTCGCCCCCGTGTGTGTGCCCCGCTTCATGTGTGTGCTCCGCCTCATGTGTGTGCCTCGCCTCATGTGTGTGCCCCGCCTCGTGTATGTGCCTCGCCTCATGCGTGTGCCCCGCCTCGTGTGTGAGCCTCACCTCATGTGTGTGCCCCGCCTCGTGTGTGAGCCTCGCCTCATGTGTGTGCCCCGCCTCGTGTGTGAGCCTCGCCTCTTGTGTGTGCCCCGCCTCCCGTGTGTGCCCCGCCTCCCGTGTGTGTGCCCCGCCTCCCGTGTGTGCCCCGCCTCCCGTGTGTGTGCCCCGCCTCCCGTGTGTGTGTCCCGCCTCGTGCGTGAGCCTCGCCTCGTGTGTGTGCCCCGCTTCATGTGTGTGCTCCGCCTCATGTGTGTGCCTCGCCTCATGTGTGTGCCCCGCCTCGTGTATGTGCCTCGCCTCATGCGTGTGCCCCGCCTCGTGTGTGAGCCTCACCTCATGTGTGTGCCCCGCCTCGTGTGTGAGCCTCGCCTCATGTGTGTGCCCCGCCTCGTGTGTGAGCCTCGCCTCTTGTGTGTGCCCCGCCTCCCGTGTGTGCCCCGCCTCCCGTGTGTGTGCCCCGCCTCCCGTGTGTGCCCCGCCTCCCGTGTGTGTGCCCCGCCTCCCGTGTGTGTGTCCCGCCTCGTGTGTGAGCCTCGCCTCGTGTGTGTGCCCCGCCTCCCGTGTGTGCCCCGCCTCCCGTGTGTGTGCCCCGCCTCATGTGTGTGCCCCGCCTCATGTGTGTGCCCCACCTCATGTGTGTGCCCCGCCTCATGTGTATGCCCCGCCTCATGTGTATGCCCAGCCTCATGTGTATGCCCCGCCTCATGTGTGTGCCCCGCCTCATGTGTATGCCCCGCCTCATGTGTATGCCCTGCCTCATGTGTATGCCCAGCCTCATGTGTATGCCCAGCCTCATGTGTGTGCCCCGCCTCATGTGTATGCCCAGCCTCATGTGTGTGCCCCGCCTCATGTCAGTAGCAGTTACTACTTGTTGTCAAATGTACTTGCTGATAGACACTTGTCCTGTGAGTTTTTTTTTTTTGCGTAGAAGTGTGTGTGTACTCACCTAGTTGTGGTTGCAGGGGTTGAGTCACAGCTCCTGGCCTCGCCTCTTCACTGGCTGCTACTAGTTAACTCTTCATGCTCCATGACCTTTATCATACCTCTTCTTAAAGCTATGTATGGATCCTGCCTCCACTACATCACTTCCCAGGGTTTTCCTCTTCCAAACAATTCTGTGACTGAAGAAATACTTCCTAAAATCCTTGTGATTCATCTGAGTCTTCAACTTCCAACTGAGACCCCTTGTTGCTGTGTCCCATTTCTGGAACATCTTGTCTCTGTCCACTCTGTTGTATGTATAATGTTCGCCAAGACCTTAGTCCTGGCACGGGTCTCAATCTTGCGATGACCCGTCCACTCTGTTGAATCCTCTCAGTATTTTATATGTTGTTATCATATCCCCCCTATCTCTCCTGTCCTCCAGTGTCGTCAGGTCGATTTCCCTTAACCTCTCCTCGTAGGACATACCTCTTAGCTCTGGGACTAGTCTTGTTGCAAACCTTTGCACTTTCTCTAGTTTCCCTACGTGCTTGGCTAGGTGTGGTTTTCCAAACTGGTGCTCCTACTCCAATATGGGCCAACGTACAGTGTACAGGGTCCTGAACGATTGTTAAGGTGTCGGAATGCTGTTAGGAGGTTTGCTAGGCGCCCATATGCTGCAACAGTTATTTTGTTGATATGCGCCTCAGGAGATGTGCCTGGTGTTATAAACCCCCCCAAGATTTTTTCCTTGAGTGAGGTTCGTAGTGTCTAGCCCTCTAGACTTACTCCCTCTGCAGTCTTCTTTGCCTTTTCCCAATCTTCATGATTTTGCACTTGGTGGGGTTGAACTCCAGGAGCCAATTGCTGGACCAGGCCTGCAGCCTGTACAGGTCCCTTTGTAGTTCTGCCTGGTCCTCGTCCGACTGAGTTCTTCTCATCAACTTCACATCATCTGCAGACAGGAACATTTCTGAGTCTATTCCTTTCGTCATGTTATTCACGAATACCAGAAACAGAATCGGTCCTAGGACTAACCCCTGTGGAACCCCGCTCACCAAAGGCGCCCACTCTGACACCTCGCCACGTACCATGATTCGCTGTTGTCTCCCTGACAGGTATGACCTGATCCATTGTAGTGCCTTCCCTGTTATCCCTGCCTGTTCCTCCAGCTTTTACACTAATTTCTTTGTGGAACTGTGTCAAACGCCTTCTTAGAGTCCAAGAAAACGTAATCTAACCACCCCTTTCTCTCTGGTCTTACTGCTGTCACCCTGTCATAGAACTCTAGCAGGGCTGTAATACAGGATTTCCCATCCCTGAAACCGTGCTGGCTGTCTTTGATAATCTCATTCGTTTCTACTTGCTCGACCACTCTTTTCCTGATAATTTTCTCTATGACTTTGCATGCTATGCATGTCACTGACGCTGGTCTGTAGTTTAATGCTTCGTGTCTGTCTCCTTTTCTAAATAATTGGGACTACATTTGCTGTTTTCCATACCTCAGGTAGTAGTGCTGTTTCGATAGATGTGTTGAAAATTATTGTTAGTGGTACACATAGCGCCTCTGCTCCCTCTTTCAGGACCCATGGAGAGATGTTATCTGGCCCCATCGCCTTTGAGGTATCTAGCTCGCTTAGCAGCCTCTTCACTTCTTCCTCGGTTCTATGTATTGTGTCCAGCACTTGATGGTGTACCCTACCTCTCCGTCTTTCTAACGGATCATTCTTTGAATCTCATGTAGAGCTCCTTACATACTTCACGGTCATTTCTTGTGATCTCTCTTCCTTCCTCAGCCTAATTATCTTGTCCTTGACTGTTGTTTTCCTCCTGTTGTGGCTCTACAACAGCTTTGGGTCAGATTTGGCTTTCGCTGCTATGTCATTTTCATATTGTCGTTGGACCTCTCTTCTTACCTGTGCATATTCATTTCTGGGTCTACGACTGGTCTCCTTATTCTCCGGGTCCTTTGCCTTTATATTTTTCCACCCCCTAGCACACTTGGTTTTTGCCCCCCTGCACCTTTTGGGAAAACCAGGGGCTCATCCGGCTTTTTCTTTTTCCGTTACCCTTGGGTACAAACCCCTCCTCAGCCTCCTTGCATTTTGTTCAAATTTTCCATCATCTCATTAACTGGCTTCCCTCCATTTCTCTGTCCCACTAAAACCCCGTTCCAGGTAGTTCCTCATTCCTTGTAGTCCCCTTTCTTGTATTTGGTTCATTGCCCCTGGCCTTCTGCTTCTCCTCCACTTGTAGCTTACTGTGTATTCGAAGCCAAAACCCACAGGTCACTGGCCCCAAGGGTCTTTCGTATGTGTGTCTCGATATCTCACACTCAAGGTAAATACTAA